TATATCTTAAAATTCTAAACACTAAAAAATGTTTTGACCCTAAACCCCCCTAAACCATCATAACTAAACCCTAATAGAACATAATTAACCCAAACATTAATAATATAAATAAAAAATAATTTTGAAAAAGTGGCATTTTTGTAAAGATTTCAAAAGTGTGGTATTTTTGTAAAGTGGCACTTGAAAAGTGGCACTTGAAAAATGGTATTTGAAAAATGACATTTTTTAAAATTTATCTTTTCTCCTTTTCAAATTTGTTTTATTTATGCATAATATAATTTTCAAATTGATTAATAAATGTTAGTGTATTGATCTGTAAAATTAGGACTTATTTTAATTTTTACTCGTCAAAATATATTAATAATAAATGTTTTCTTAGACAAGCTCTTCGATTTATGAATTTATCATTTATGGTAAATAAATTAAAAATAATAAGAGATCAAAACATATGATTAATATCTTTTATCATTTTTATTGTATATATAATTTGTTTCATGCATAAAACCAAAAAGGTTAGGACTTCTAATACATTTGGTATGTATGCCAAGAACTAGCTTCGAAGTTGGAATCACCCATACACAAATACAATGGGTTTATATCTGATTCATGTACACGAACTCATGAATCAACTGAAATAGCAATTGGTTTCTCAAATTTTCTAAAAATAAAAATTCTTCACTATATTTGAAGTTCTCACAAGATATTTAATATTTTTTTATTACTTTCAGCATCATATTATTATTATTTTCACTCCTTTTTAAAATATATTTTCATCTTTTATGTATTACTTATGGCTATTGGATTCTTTCCACTTATTAAAATACTTGTTATAAATATGTTTTTAAAATTAAATAACTTAATTTTTTTATCAAAAATTCCTTAAATTAGTACTTTTTTTTGTTAATATAAAATTTTTAAAATTTTTTTTTTTTCTTAAATAACCTTTAAAAGACCCAAATATTTTTTATCTGTTTGGACCCCTAAAATTTGAGGGGCCAGCTATTTGCATACAATGTGTAATACATGCTTATTTATATCTACGAAGAGTTTAAACATACATGTTTACATTTATAGCTTAACATTATTAGTAGTATAACTACATTTCACATTACATATCCAACTTAAAGTACTTATAGATACATAACAGACTCAAACACTTGGGAGTGATCTAAAGCTTATTCTAACTGAAACCTATTACAACAAGCTTTAGCGTATGTGTTGGTCTGCACTTTTTCCGAAAGCAGAAATAAAAACTCTCTCACACTTTCTTACAAAATAACCATGCATCTTTAACATAACTTAATTATTACCCCGCTTAATTACCAAAATTCTTTTATAAGCATCCCTCCATAGAGTTTGAACGCCTCGTCGCAGCTGACAACCCGTCCATTCGGCCTCTCAACCCAGTTGGCATGGCTGGTAGATGGACGGGCACCACCAACAGATGGAATATGTTCCGTGGAACTTTGGTTAAAACGAGAAGGGAACTGGTCTCTAGGAACAAATGGTTTAGGGGTTATTTTCGGGGACTTACCATTCACCTTATCGACCGTTTCAAAAGCCTGTTGAACGAATCTTGTATTCCTATCCTTTTGAGCCATTGCCATTGAAGAACAAAGAAGAGAAAAGGTG